GCGTCATGGCGTAGAGCTCCTGAAGAAGCGCCTTTATCTTCTCCACCTTTTCCTTGGGCAAATGATCTGAGTGGTTCTGGTACAGAGCCAGGATGAGTCTCCGACTGGGGATGGCCAGCTGATCGATTCTGCTTCGGCATTTTTCGTTCTGAGGCGGCGATGGGTGTTGAGGTTTTCGGACCTTCCGAGTCTTGGGCTCGCTTGCTATGAGGTCCTCCAGATCAGCCTCATCTTCCGCCATCGTCGCTGATTATTCACGGTAATTTTGGGACTTTGGCACGCCGAATGACGTTTTGATGGGATTGTGGTCGGTTTACAGGGCAGGATTTAGCGGTCGGTTTAATTAAGCAACATGACTGGCGGAAATTGGGGAATGAAGAGAGTTTGACACGGTCAACCCAACCAACCATGCCGTCAGGCCCAGCAAAGTCGTGAAAGTGCCCGATGGAAATTTTACTTTACCTACCATTTCTCCGATCGCTGATCATTTCGCGGAATTTCCAGCCTTCAGTAAAAATGCTGTGATTGGATTTTCCACCAATCCGCCTCAACTGGAGCGAGTTCCAAGTGAAACCCAGTGATAGTTGATCGTTTTTTGGCTGAAATCGAGCCGCTACGTATGGGAGATTGAGGTTGCATATTGTTTCAGAGACGGAATTTGGCCAGTTTTCCCACAAATCCATCAGCTCGCGTGTTTGGCATTGAGTCCGCCAAACTGATCTAACCCAATGTTTAAAATTAGGTTTGTTGCCATTTCCGTTTTGTTTAGATTTGGGCGCATGGTGGTGTTTATGTTGGCAAAGGCAGAAAAATGGACAACATTTTGCGGAATTCATCTCCCATCGATTTGAAAATTAATTTTTAGATCCTCTAAGTCTTTTGCTTTCAATCTCGTATTCTTCTAGTGATTTCTCTCTTAATTAGCAGAGAAACTGCAGCTTGATGTTCCTGGAAAATTACACGAGATTTTTATCCGCAAAGATCAATACCTCAGAGCTGCATAAAGCTATGGAGTTCATTTGTGCGGTATTTAGTACGGACATTTTTTGGCAAATTACATAAAATCCAATCGCTCATTCTGTTGCACTTTGAGCCCAGAACTCAATTGCTCAGAAACACGTCAAACCAAAGGGTTGATTTTCGCAATGTTTAATAGAGAAAATGCTATTCTCGGCGCGTGAAGAGTTGCATTAGCGCAAAATTTTTCCCTGATTTTTTGCGAATTTTTTACAGGTGCGCAACTATTGCCCAAAAATCAAATTCTCAGAAGTGAGATCAGGTAGGCAGACGGTTGACTTTGGCACTGTTCAATAGAGAAACCACCGATTCATGTGTGAAAATTGACACTGAGGATCATGTTGATCATGTAAAAATAATGAAACTTTTGAAACTTTGTGAGAGTGGAAATGGTTGGTTTTACTAGTCAAATGCTTGTGGCAAATCCTGAAAAACACACGCCAAATAAAAGGCGC